GGTGGCGTGGTCTGGTACTTGTAACAAACCCAGCCACAGTGGCTTGTGCTGCCTACACAGTCTCAAGGAGAATAAATATCCAACAGCACCATCTTTGCATCAGCTGAAAAACTCTGAAAGCTGCTGGCAGTCCTCCCCCAGGCCTTTCCTCAGCTTCAGTCTACAGTGAGTTTTGCAGTGGTAATCACACGCCTTGGCGATGCAGAGGAACAGACATATCAGCGGGGAGGAAGGGGAGAGGGATTACCTTGCCCAAGCAATTATGCAGCCATTTGGAGAGTCTCTGAGGAGCAGGCTTTGCTGGATCCACAATCCCATTGCTACTGCTAAATGATTCAGTGACCTTGCTATGGATACAGCCCTTCTTCTAGGCTAGCAGTTGGGATGACACTGACTGTCCCAGGCTGTGTGAGTCAAAGAGAGCTGCAGGGTTTGTCTGTATTCAACAACCCCACTCAAACTAAATAAAAATTTTACGTTCATTGCTGACACTGCTGCCCCCATTTCTGTTCCTGCCTGGGAGTGAGGAACATCCAGCTGAGGACAAGCTCCACCACCAGCACGTCTCCTAGAGCCTTCTCTGCACTGCTTTCCACTCCTTGGGGAACATGTGGCCACAGTCACAACAGATAACACCTGGATGCCCAGATGCTATCACATCACACCACCATGGTCAGGCCATCAATTTGAGCACCTGAAGATATGTTTAGAGAGCTGCTATGGTTTCTAAGAAATAGAGGAAAGCACCTAAGTGCAAGTGGACAATGCAATTCAGATTTCCTACTTTCAGATACTAGCTTCTTTTATGGGCAGTGGAGAGAAATATGACGCCCAAGTCTAGAGGACTCTAATGAAGCCCTACCTGCTTCTGCAGAGCTATTTGTAGATAATGGGGAGAACATATCACAGTAACCCTTAATTGCAAAGCTGGCCCAGGACTAGGCAGTAGGTGGATGGGTGACCACCTCAGATTCTCCAGTATGAACCAAGACGTTCTTGTTAAACAGTGAAGGACCACAGAAACCTAGAGAGAGTTAATTTAGCTCTGAGTGAAGGGAGGGAAGTCCATTTGCTTGTCCTGTCCTCCCACAACCAGGTTCTCCTCATCTAGGAGGCAAAAGATGAAGGATAACCTGAGGGTGGGCCAGCTCCCCGGCCAAGGCATGCAGTCATCCTTACCAGTGGCATTGCGAGGACACCGGACAGCTGCAGCATCCCCAGCGGGTGTCTCTTTCCAAACCACAGAGGCAAGACTTTCCTCGTCACAGATTTCATGGGGCTCTGCAAGGAACGAACAGCTCCATTGGTAAAGCCTCCTCCTCAGGAGGGACGTGGAAAAGGGAATGGAAAGAGGAAACAGGGGAGCATGGTCTGGAGGGAACAGCAGTGTGGTGTGAGCCAGGAGGCCTGGGGGTAAACTCCCAGCTCTGCAGCTGCTTGGTGCACGGCCTCTGACAAACCCGCTTAACCTCTCTGGAATTTGCTCTGCCTGTCTGAAAACTGGGTGTCCATCCATCCCAAGGATTAGCTCACTAATATGCATGTAACAACCTGGGAAAGCCCACTAACACGCCTTCCTTGCCTTGTGGCAGCTCTTCACAAGAAAGCTGTTGTTGCTACACCCTACTAGAAAGTTTTATTTTCTTGCTTAAGGGGCTGGTGTCCACCTTTTCTGGGTGAACTCCATGGCTCCAGATTTTACGCCTTCCATCCTTCAGGGTCACCACACAGGTTTTGGATTGGATGTGTCTAAAATGAGACTCGGCATAAATAAGTTGGAGTAAGAATGAAGGGAAGAACAACACATAGACGAAAAAACAAGATGGACATATCCCCTGGGTGGACTTCATTCAGGCCCTCTGTCTGCTGTCATCTTATGCAAGGACACAGGGAGAAGATCTGAGCACCAACAGGCTGGATTTGCATCAGCAGCTCATTTCCAAACACTGCTGCAGAGTCCAGGAGACTGCAAAATGTATTTTGAGACATCACAGAAAAAGCTCTTTGGAAGGAGGTTTTTGGATGTTTCTGTCTGTGAGTGGAGCTGAGTTGGCCCCAGAGTTGGTGGGACCTGGGAAAAAACATTCACCACAAGAGACCTTTGTGCCGAGAAACTCATTAGTTGCAGCATGTAAAACGGAGGGAGCCATGAGCATGGTGTTAAAGCTATCACTCCTGATACTAGGGAGAAGAAAAAATTCTATTTAGTGGTTTTCTATTATAGGTTTTATTTATTGTGCATGCAAAGCTACCAATAAAAAAGAAGCTGACTGCATGCCTGCAACTGGAAAGGCAGCCTCAAAGCCAAAGCCAACCAGCCATGGAGCCTGGCAGCTGCCTGCTGAGCTTCTTTTCCATGCGGGAAAGTGCTGCCCATACCAGCGTCCAGTGGTGCCAGTAGAGACATGCCAAGGTTGTAG